GCTCTTTGCACATACATGTTTTTGGATTGATCTTCCAAAAATTGATAAAAGACAGTCATATCAAGATGCCACTTCCTATAGAAAGTCCAAAGCCAGGAGGACTTGGTGTGAAAGCACTGCCACTGAATGCTTCACTTCTACTTCTTAAAGGAAACTTGCAATCGATAATGTTTAATTTGGATTCTTAACTTATCAAAAGATCTATGAAGCTAAAAATATGATTGAGTTATCTAAAACTATTTTCAGAATACAAAAATAAGATTAGATATATGATCATTTTTTTCATGTTCCTGGCAACTTAAACACTCAAACCTGCTCACCCAGAGATGCCATTTGCTGCATTGCATGTGACTAAAACACTCAAGGGTCACTCCCGGGGAACTGGGCTGCACAAAATAACTGCACAAGAGACAGAAATACCTTTTTCTTTGGGGGAGCTGTGACAGCTCCTCTGACCTTAAGGGTCTGCAGAGAGAGAGCGAGAGAGAGAAAGCCCCCACGTGCTGATCTCTTTTATTGAGGAGAAGCCATACAAATGAGGTAGGGGGTCAGGTTTCAAGGGGCTGAGTCTAGCTTCATGATGTCTGCTGTCAGCAGGTTGAATGACATCTAGGAAGGCCACACCCAGAGCAGAGCAAGAGAAGGGGACATACAAAGGGCGTCTCCATGGAACATTCTATCCCAAACAGGGCAAGGGGTAATATCACAAAGGAACAGGTGAGCATAGCTCCATCTCTGGGGATGTAGGAAGGCACGCCCATGCACGAAGACACATTTGCATTTTGTCTACCTCAAGATAGGGGCTACCATCTTTGGTTACTTAAGCAACCAGATCATGGGGTGACCGACAGGGCCACACAGATCAGGAGAGGAAGCAAACCCTGGTCATATGCTATGTTGGCCTCCCACACATTTTAACTCTTTAAAAATCCATAAGATTTAAATGATTCCTTATTGTTTGGGTATTATTTACAGCCATATGATAAAGGCCAAATTAAACCTGGCAACCTGATTGATGCTACTTTTAAAAGGCCAATAACTCACATTTGGATTTATAACAGTCATTTCTTATTTAATGATAATTTGGGTTCTACATATTTTAATGTATTCTTTCAGGCTTATGTCTGTCTCCATATTGACTATATTTGTGGACATAAGCCATTCTCTCATGATGCTATGACTCCTGAAAGTTTCATTGATAATATCCTAGCCTTTAGCAAAGGCAATAACCAAAAAGATGTTTGGCACTTAATTGCAGCCTCAGATTATCTACATTATACAGATAGTCCTTTGCCTGACTTTGTAGGCAGGAATTGCAAAGAGGCATCCTGCTTTGGCCTGCGGGGCCTGTGTTCAATCTCCTTATGCTTTAATTACTGGACATGTAAGAGTGAAGAAAAGGGATGATAAATATCTTATAGCCTGTAAAAAATGCAATTTAACTAGTTTCATCACTAGATATAACAGAGGCTAAGGAACATTAATCCTTTACCAACCTTCCTTTGTCATATTACCAGCCAGTATCTCAAAACCAAGGTATGCAGATGCTGGTGTTCAGGTTTTACAATGGATGTGTGCTCAGTTAGCCAGACTTAAGTGAGCTCTTGGTCTCATAATTCTTGTAGTGGCTGCTTTAATTTCATTTATTGCTTCTACAGTTACATCCTCAGTGGCTATATCTCAAAACATTCAGCATGCAAATTTTCCTAAAAATCTGACTCAAAATACTTCCAAAGCCCTCCATGATCAGATAAATATTGTTGAAAATATTGAAACTAAATTGGATGCCTTGGAAACTACTGTCATAGATGTTGGTAATGAGCTTTCTACCACATTTAAGGAAGGCTTAAATGCTCTGCTAATTATAAACATTTCTGTGTTACTGTGGCTAAATATAATGCTTCCCAATGGGATTGAGAAAAGATTTAAAGTCATCTAGGGGTATTTGGCAGAGCAATAATTATAGCCTGGATCTTATTGAGTTACAAGGCCACATCCAGGATATTAAAAAAAATTGATCTTTTGTATCCTGTGGCTCTAGGTAATCAAATACTTCAAGAATTAAAAGGCTATAATCCTGGAAACATGCTGAAACATTCTGCATGGTATATGATTGGAATAATATGTATGCTATTAATTCTCTTTTGTACTGTGATAATAGGTTGTCACTTGCTCAGAACAAGAATCTGGGAACTTGAAATAACAGCTCATCATTACTGCCACAGTCTGGCTGGGCACAAAATCACGAGCCACTCAAGCAGGAACAAAACTTTATTTTTGAAACTGCCGCCAATGCCCCGGAGGCTCCTGGGAAAAATTGCCGACCAACACACGCAGCGTTCTCCTGGACCGGACAGGAAGTCCCTCCTCCGGAATTCCCTCCTACTGCACCTCCCCAACCAATGGGAACTCTCCAGGAGTCCCTTAGCAGTCCGAGATGGACAGCAGGAGTCCAATATCCACATGAATGCAGATCTTAACATAATCATATCATCTCAATGGCTTGCTGGCGCCACCCCTCAACCAAAAATGCCATGCATCATACTACTTGGCTATGGCTCTTAGCACATTACATTTGCAAAGTAAAAAGGGGGAATGTGTGGAAGCCACCCGTGAGCTACTTGAGGGGTCTTTACTCAGTACTGAGCCAAGGAGACTTAGGTTTTTTCCTTGGGAACTATTCCAGGTTTCCCATGTGTATCAGACTGCCCAAGGCATGAGATCTCTGTCTTTGCTTTACTAGTGAGACAACTCCATAACTCCGGAGTGGGGCGTACCCATTGGGAACTGGACAGCCCCCTCCTACCTTATTTGGCAAAGAACATTCCATGTTCTTTGATGTCCCCCCAAATAAATAAAGCAAGCACAGGCTCCATCGCTCTCTTTCCAATGTGGAAGCTCTATCCCTAAGAACAAAGAATTGTCCTACTCCCACTCTGCAAAATTACTTCTCATGTACTGTGGGGGTTCTTTGCCATTTTCTCTTTATTAGCTTTAATTCCACAGCCAGCCCATTCCCTGAAGAGGGACCCCAATTACATCACCTGCCTGAAACATGGGTGAGACCCCACCACCACCTGAAAAAAAAGACTACTGTAGAAACTCACAAAGGCAAGGATTGGAGTTTTTATTTTATTTTAAGAAAATCCCTTTTCTAATTAACTCACAAAGAACTGCATCAAAACTGCTGGTTTAAAGAAGCCACACAAATAACTCCAATTCTGTACCAACTCAGTGAGCTTCTACGCCATTAGAATACTCTCTTGCATTGCCATTCAGAAACAATGAAGCTATTAAGATGTTTTACATTTCATACTTTCACTATCAATTACATTTTTAATCTAAAGTAACTTGGTCGAGCCAATTTTCCACTTCTTCAATTGAACTTCTTAAGTAGATGAATCCTTTTGCAATGCTGCACTGTCTCGGCACGTCACTGAATCCCTCACAAAACTTAATGTCACCCTGGTTCTGGACACAATACAAAAATTGTTTTATCTTTTAAAAGCTAAGGGCCACCAAGCTGCTGCTGCTGTGCTGGCTGCGTTCCCCGAGGCTACAGGTAAGTGATATCAGGCTTTGAGGGCTCAGCTTTACTTCCCCACTAAAGACCCAAGGATGGTATGACCCAGTTTGTGCTCAACAGCAGAGCCCACAGCCACAGTTGTCATCTGGCCCATCAGACCTGGCTGCCTTGGTGCAGCAGCAGGTGGGGCTGCTGCTGGTGACTGTTAGCACAAAAGGACCAGGCCAGACGCAACCTTCATGGATCATTTCAGCCTTTTATTCAGGAAAGAGATTACACCCACAGGAATGGACCCACTCTCCTGGTGGAAAATGAGCCACTGGCCAAAGGAAGAGTTTGGGCTTATATAGGTTATACTAAGAGGTGATTTAGTGAGCAGGTCAATTTAGGGACTTAGAAATTTGGGGTTTGGGTTGAGAGTCAGTGGCCAAAACCTGGGGAGGACTTATCTTGGAAAAGATTAGTGTCTCCTAGAGATTGTCATTCTAGGTTTGATGAAATGCTTTCTCCCCACCAGTGGCCAGCCTCTGAAAAGGATTTACCTTGGGGAGAGATGAAAGCTCTCAATGTGTGTCTTTCTTTTTTACTCCCTTTTCCCAGGTCACACTATCTTGGGGTTTTCCATATCTAACTGTGACCAAGCTATTGGTGTTGGCCTGGGCACAGCTTTTCTCTGAGGGGCCCAGCTCAGGGAAGGGTTCACGTGGAATGTGCAATTTCAGCTTTTGCACAGCTTGGCTTCTAGAAGTGTGAAACTATTGGGATACAAGCTATTTTGATCAGTAGTGTATTCCCAGTGCTTAGACATTGTAGGTTCACATAGTAGGCATTTGTTGAATAAATAAATTAATCAAAACAAAAGGATACGATTAGCTTTCATTAATGGATCACACATTTGTACCGGTTCTGTCCCAACCTCTTTAGGTAACTAATTGCATCAAACCCTCACAATGATAGTATGAAGCAAAATTTTCTTATTTTTAAAATCAAGTCCCCCTGTGGTAAAATTGTAACACTGGTGACTATATTTGGGAATCCTTGACCTTTTCCCCCCAGGGTCCAAGATGCAAGACTGGTTCTTCCCCTGCTGTATTCTCTCTCCCTCCCCAAACCTGGTGGTGTTGGGGCCATTAGACTAAATTAGTCTTAAATGATCAACTATTGAGAGACTTCAGGATGTTATTCTGTGTACCTGGGGCTGCATATAAGTAAGCACTTAATGGTTATTAATGAGGGGACCTGGAAACAACACGAACTGGGATTCCTGGTTCTCTTATATACACGAACCCTCACTGTAGCAAAAATTTCCAACCAGAAAGGAGGAAAGGGGAGCCTTCCACCTCTCCCTCTCCCCAGAGAGGAGTCTGAACCTCTTAGGAAAAATGACCTGTTTTGAGATAATAGGATGGTTTGTCAAACGTAGATGCATCACTTGGATTCCCTTTCCAAGAAGAGACCTGTTGAGAGCCACAGCTGAAGGGGCCCCAGCAAACTTCCAGCTGCCGGCTGATGATTGGCTCACAGCGGCCCCAGCAACATCTAGCTGATTGGCTCCTCGGCCCCAGCAACATCTAGCTGATTGGCTCCTCTGCGGTGATGCTCATTGGACTGTTTCCCTGCCCTTTCAGACCACGGAGCTGCTCATTGGGGGACTTTTTTGGCTCCGCCCACGTGACCCAGCCAATCGGCCTCAAGAGCAGGAGGATTGTGGGAGGTGGAGAGAAGCTTGTGTGGGAGAGAGAGGCTTGTGGAAAGCCGGTGGTGGCAGTTGAGGCTCTGAGGGTTTTTCCTGAGAGGCTGTTTTGTTTGGCGTGTGTGGTTCTAAAAATAAAGTTAGTTTCTTTTGACAAGTGGTTCCTGATTGTGCCCAGCCAGACTGCGGCATTTGGTGGCTCGCACGGGGAGCGACTGAGGGTAAGTGAAACTGCTCGCCCCTGAGGGCAGGGCGAGAGGATGGGTAGCCATTTTAAGATTCCTCTTTTATTTTGCTTCACTTTTGTTTTAAGTTGCCTGTCCCTGGAGATGAGTGAGACGGAAGAAAAACCGCTCACATCTGAGGAAAAACTATTTACGTCTGAGGAACAGATAGGGAGAAAGGACGCATGCACATGTCAGGAGGATAGAAAGGCTATAATGACTTTTTGTTGTTCCCTTTTTATTTCATTCTGTCTCAGTTTTGTTTGGCGTCATCTTGTTGGGTTGTATTATAGTAGAAATACGGGATCAGAAATTAGTAAAAAACAAACTGAAAGAGTGTTAAGTAAATTGTTAGAGGAAGGAGGCATCTCAGTAAAATCAAGAACAATCAGGGCATACGTTGATACAATACAAAAATGTAGCCCATGGCTTTTTAAGGAGGAGTTGTTAAATATATCACAATGGAACCATCATGGTGAAGATTTAAAAAGAATAGAAAAGAAAAGCCCAGGGACTCTGCCAGATGGCACATTGCCATTGTGGACGTTCATATCTTGTTTGCTTAGTCCAAAGCCTTCAGTTCAGACAATGGTAGAGGAAGGAGAAGACATAATGATTCAAGTAAAAGAGAAGGTCTCTCAAGTTAGTCAGACAGAGGAAAAGATTCAAGTAAAAGAGAAGGCCTCTCAAGCTAGTCAGACAGAGAAAGAAAGTGTAAAACAGAAAAAGCCATCAGGGGGAAAGTTACAACAGGAGACTGCTACTAACACCTTTCTATCACCAGAGGGTGTAAGTGTCCAACCAACAGCACCACCTCTACAGGAGACTGCTACTAACACCTTTCTATCACCAGAGGGCGTAAGTGTCCAGCCAACAGCGCCACCTCCATATGCTGGGAGGCCCCCAACCCCCGCAGTTGATAGTTGGGATCCTGAGACAAGATCTCAAATATTAACATGCCCTGTATTTGAGGCAGGAGGGCAGCGATTTTACCAAGTTTTAAATTTCAAAACAGTGAAGCAGCTAAAAGAGGCTGTAACAACCTACGGTCCTCAAGCACCCTTCACTGTAAGCATGGTCGAATCCATTAACAACTTGAACATGACGCCAGCAGATTGGGCTAATATGTGTAAAGCTGTGCTAAATGGAGGACAATACCTGTTATGGAAGGTTGCCAATGAGGAATTTTGCAAGGAGACGGCTAGGCGAAATGCAGCAGCTGGTTATCCTCAGAGAAATCTAGATATGTTGTTAGGAAAGGGACCTTATGAGGATCAGCAGCAACAAATTGCATATGATCCTGGCGTATATGCACAAATTGCTGCAGATGCAATTAAGGCATGGAAGACTTTACAAGGACATGGAGGTTTACAAGGTCAATTATCTAAGGTAATACAAGGAGCTAATGAACCTTATGCTGAATTTGTAGATAGGCTTATTCAAACAGCTACCAGAGTTTTGGGGAATACAGAACAAGCAATGCCATTACTAAAACACCTGGCTTATGAGCAAGCGAATCATTGGTGCAGAGATATCATTAGACCATGGAAACATGAAGATTTAAACACATATATTAAATTATGTAGAGACATTAATGAACAAGAGCAAGTCGTGGCAGCTGCAGTAAAACAGGCTTTAGATGCCAGAGACATTAATGAACAAGGGCAAATTGTGGCAGCTGCAGTAAAACAGGCTTTAGATGCCAGGCCAAGAACATGCTACAATTGTGAACAAACAGGACATTTTAAAAGGAATTGCCCCATTGGAGGAGGGTTTAACAAAACTAGGTATCAAAGGAGTAGAATACCAGGTATTTGCCCACGATGCTGTAGAGGGAGACATTGGGCTAATGAATGCCGTTCTCAAACCACCATAGAGGGTACTCCATTATCAAAAAACGAACAAGGACCAGGCATTTATCCACGATATCGTGGAGAAAGGCATCGGGCTCCATTGCCAAAAAATGGACAGGGGGGCCCAATGCTCCGGGGCCCAAAACCACAAATATACGGAGCACTGGAGGAACCCAGCAACCCCATCAGGGTAGTGCCCAGGACACATTGTACATCAGATCCCTCATCAGACAAACCAGAGGGAGCACAGGGTTGGACATCTGTGCCTCCGCCAGAGCAGTACTAACTCCAGAGATGGGAGTTCAAATCATTCCCACAGGGGTGAAAGGACCTCTTCCCAAAGGAACAGTAGGCTTATTATTGGGACGCAGCTCTTCTACTCTAAAAGGACTTATGATAAGTCCTGGGGTAATTGATCCCGATTATGAAGGTGAAATAAAAATTATAGCCAGTTCTCCAAAGGGTATATCAGTAATTTCACCAGGAGATAGAATAGCACAGTTACTAATAATACCCAGCCTACATGATAAATTTTCCAGTCGTACTGTAGAAAGAGGTTCCAAGGGATTAGGCTCCACAGGTGTAGATTGGGCTATGCTTTCTTTAAATTTAGATTCTCGCCCCATGCTGAAACTAAATATTCAAGGACATGAATTTAATGGGCTACTGGATACAGGTGCAGACCTTAGCATCATCTCTCGTCAAGAATGGCCAAAACATTGGCCATTACAACAAGCCACTCAAACGCTTCGAGGCCTAGGAGTGGCAACTAATCCCCATAGAAGTGCAATGGTATTAGATTGGAAGGATCCTGAAGGATGTGAAGGAACTATACAGCCATATGTATTGGATCATCTTCCCGTAAATTTATGGGGACGAGATGTCCTAGATCAATTAGGTTTGACATTAACAAATAACATCAACCAAAATGCACCCACTATTATGACTAGACAAGGTTTTAGGAAAGGAAAAAGATTAGAAAAACAATAACAAGGTATAGCAGCACCAATACAAATAGATCAAGGAACAGACAGACATGGGTTGGATTTTCAGAAAGGGCCACTGAGACAATAAAAATTACTTGGAAATCAGAAAGACCAGTATGGGTTCCTCAGTGGCCCCTGACTAAAGAAAAGATACAAGCAGCCCATGACCTGGTCAAACAACAATTAGCAGAAGGACATATACAACCTTCTGTATCTCCCCATAATACTCCCATTTTTGTCATCAAAAAGAAATCTGGTAAATGGAGATTATTGCAAGATTTAAGAGACATTAATAATGAGATGGTTATTATGGGACCTGCTCAATCAGGGATTCCTCAGTTGTCTGCTTTGCCAAAAACCTGGTATGTTTTAGTTATAGATATTAAAGATTGTTTTTTTTTCAATTCCAATTCATCCTGAGGATAGTCCACGTTTTGCATTTACTATCCCTGCACTGAATCATGAAGGTCCTGATCAGAGATATGAATGGAAAGTACTCCCTCAAGGGATGGCTAACAGCCCAACTATGTGTCAAATTTATGTTAACAAAGTAATCCAGCCACTTAGAAATCAAAATCCTGAACTACAAATATTTCACTATATGGATGATGTATTATTAGCACACAAAGATAAAAACACATTGCTAGAATGTTATGCCACACTTACAAACTTATTAAAAAATTATAATCTAGAGATAGCAATAGATAAAGTACAATTAAATTTTCCAATTAATTATTTAGGAGTTCTAAAAAAATGCCGCAGTCTGGCTGGGCACAATCAGGAGCCACTTGTCAAAAGAAACTAACTTTATTTTTAGAACCACACACGCCAAACAAAACAGCCTCTCAGGAAAAACCCTCAGAGCCTCAACTGCCACCACTGGCTTTCCACAAGCCTCTCTCTCCCACACAAGCTTCTCCCCACCTCCCAAAATCCTCCTGCTCTTGAGGCCGATTGGCTGGGTCACGTGGGCGGAGCCAAAAAAGTCCCCCAATGAGCAGCTCCGTGGTCTGAAAGGGCAGGGAAACAGCCCAATGAGCATCACCGCAGAGGATACAATCAGCTAGATGTTGCTGGGCCCGAGGAGCCAATCATCAGCTGGCAGCTGGAAGTTTGCTGGGGCCGCTTCGGCTGTGGCTCTCAACATCTGTGCCCAGCCAGACTGCGGCAGAGACCTGTGGCTTAGTTGTGAGGAGTGTGGTTAGCTGATGGCCTCCACTGTGAACTCACCCAGATCCACCTCAACTTTAGAGTTGAGGCCTTTCTGAGGGTGGCCCCAGCAAGTGCCTGAACAAAACTGTGGTACCACTCTAACATGCTCCAGAATTTTCCTGGGCTGACAGAAATATTGTTATATCTACCTCCAGCTGCTTTGCTAATTCTGCTTCCTTTTTGCTCCTTTCACTAGAGTTACTCCCTGGTACTCTTTGTGCTCCTAGGTCTGTCTTTTTAGAGGATCCAACTGACCTAGGTGGATGTCGATAGCACCATGCCTCCTTCTGTCCCTGATGAGAGCACGTAGTTAGAACTGGTCTTGAGGCAGCGCCAGCAGACTGTATGATCATCCTGGCCCTGAGGGGACCAATGATATACTTCCATTTTACACCCAAATCAAACAAGCTTGTGTGCATTGTTATTCTTCTTGGCACTAAATATGCCTTGTCATCATGTAACATGACTTAAATGTTTCCACTGGTATATCTCAATGAATGATTTGTTTAAGAAAGGGTGTGATTGAGGACAAGGTCACTAAGTTCATTTCCAATTAGCTAGTTAGTGTTAGTTTCAGTCAAGTTACTTGGTCAGTCAAGTTACTTGGTTACAGATGGATTGTTATCTGGTCATATCTGAGCTCTATAAATTCCTCACCCTGTGCTGGGTCAGTCATTAATTGGGCCAGTCATTTCTCAGCTACCTGGAAAACTGTCATCATCCCTTTGGGTCACATAAAATGCCCTATTTGTGGTGTTTGCTAGAAGAGTTTTAATACGGTTGGTGAGCAGGTACTTTATTCAAAGTCATGAATGGAAGGGAATAGCTCTTGCTTTTTGCTATGTAACTAACTTCTAAGTCCTTATTAGAAAAGCAATAACCCCCAAATTATCCACCCACACATCAAATGTTTGTGAACCAAGAGAGTCGTTACTCTCATTTCACTTTATCAGACTTTCACAGTGACAACCATGGTACTACATGTTAAAGAAGTCTCCAAGGGGTTTCTTTAGTAGCAACTACCAGGCAGTGGCCTCTCAGGGTCTACAGTATTACTTATTCCTGTTCCTTCTGCATGACACTCTCCCCTTCATGTTAGCAACAAGGAGCTCTAATCCGTGTACTGGAATTAATAAGAAGAGGAGGAACTCTAGGATCTGATAGACCTTGGTATGATTACTTAACCTTTCTGAGTTTTAATCTACATCACTGTAAAACAGGATAATGCACAGACCGTGAAGAGTCCTTATGAGGATTCAATGAAGTAATATTTGTAAAGCACTTATTTACCTCTTCCTTGAATTCCTACTTTATTTCCAGCGTCACAATATTATTTTTATATTTCTGGCCCCAGGACAGATGGAATCGGTACTGCTACTTTTGTATTTTCCCATTATACCTATTTGTCTTTGAACAAGGACTCTGACATAAGGCTATGCTCGGAGCTCCCTCAGCAAATATGACTTTGAACAAGATCATTCTTTTGAGTACCAGATGGCTTCAAGTCTGTGGAATTCTAAAGACCTCAAACTAGTTGCTGTAACTTGACTGTTAATATAGTAGTTTGGATTCAGGTGTCAATATTTTGTTCCTAAGAGGCTGCGATGACTTTTTTCTGGTAATCTTTACATTTTTTTTTAAATTAGTAAGTAAGAATCATATATGTCTATGGTATACAACATGATATTTTGATATATGTATACATTATGGAATCCAGCCCTGGAACGACTCTTGAGAAGAGTCAGGCCCATACTTAGTTGGACCCATGAAACAGAAGTTCTGAAGACTAGCTCTCTGGGGTGGTGACAGATGATAGTTATACATTCTGTCCCTCTGCTACTACTGTGCCCACAGAGACGTGCTCACCAGAGCATGATCTTCACATGGCTGAAGGAAGAAGTGCTCTATTCGGGGGCTTAAATCCCATCCCTTAGCCCCTGCCAGGAGCAGAGACTCTTCCCTTCCCAGAGACCACCCATTTCCCTCTCTGATGTGGGAGGAGAGAGCCAGAGTCTACTGCAGCTTGCTTGGGAATCTGTGCTCCTTAGGTAAAGGTCTGCTCATCTTCCTGCTCTGTACCAGGCATTGGGGGATCCACGTTTAATTGGACCTAATCATGTTTCTCTCTTCTCCTCTTTTTCCTCTATATTGGCTCCCATTTTCCCATACCATTTTTTTTCACTCTTTATCTTGTAGTTGGGTTGCATACAAATCACTCCATTACACTTGCCAGGAATTGTGGCCAATAATATAAATTAGGAGTCATTGAACATTACCTGATGTAATATTCCTATTTACAAAAGCATTTTCTAGAGGTTTCTTTCTAGTAACAAGAATCTTTAGTGCTTTAAAAATAGGGTTTTGTGAACAAACATGCCAAAGGTGACACTACGTCACAGGTATAAAGGTGAACAAGAAAAATCTTCAGAAGGGAGTTTGCTTTCTCACACCAAATAAAAACAGAGGGGTATAACATGGCACTGGGGAGTGCAGAGTCAGTTAGGAGCGGTGGGGAAGTGAGACAAGACCGAGTAAGCAGTGGTGTATGTAGCGAGGGTAGTCAGCTCTCCGCCCAGCATCAGACACCCAGAACAGTGGGGCTCACTTTCAAAACCTGTTGGCTCATGGTCTGTGATCTATTTGCAGAGAACAAACTGGTGGAAATAAACGGCATGCCTTCTGTCACCATTTGTCAAATTCAGTCCTTCCATTATGGGGCCAGAACAACACAGAGACACCTATCATGGCTGAAGTTACATAGGCTTCAAAATACCAGTGAGTGGATGTCAGTGGAGCACAAAGGAGGAATGATCACACAGGAGGCTGGGGTGATTTGTTTTTTTGTTTTTTGTTTTTTGTTTTTTTGGTGGGGGGGATGACTTTTAAACTGTCCCACAAGTAAAAAGCCACAGCTACAAGGTATATTGCCTTGTGCCACCTTCTCCCAGGATGCCAGCCTCTTTCTGTTTGGGGGGCCCAATAGCATGGGGCAGGAATGAACCAGAGATTTTAACAACCTCGCTGGCAGCATAGGATCTGATTCACAGTATTTTTCTCACTTGGAATGTGGTTCCCGCATGCTCTCCACATTTGCAAATCCCCCTCCCCAACATTCAGAAACCTACCCCAAGCCCCACCTTTCCCAGAAGTATGCTCTGACCCCACCAGCTCCACCTCTGCCAGACACTATGCTGAGGGGTTTACAGGCATTGTCCCATTGGACCTCCAGTAATCTGTCAGGAATGATTGTCTATAAAGAGGGAACTAAGGCTCAGAGAGGCTGAAGTATTTCCTATGGCTTTGGTATGGCAGAGATGGAATTGACACTCAGGTCTGCATGATTCCAAAGCCTGTGGTTGTAAGCCCCTTCTGTATGGTGCCAGCATCATCCAGTACTTTAGTCAGGACTTGGGGTCACTCAGTTGGGTCATTTCATGTGCTCATAGAACTAAGCATCTGAGCTCATGAAGCACTCCTTCAACTTCATTGAAGGTTCTCTGAGGGAAAAGATCTCTCTCATGCTTCTATTCTCATGTGGGCAATGGCATAGTGTTACTCAGAATTAAATACTTGTGATTTCTTGTGGGGAGACAGAAGGTTGCTGTGGTTGGGTTCAGAGAACAAGGAAAAGGAATTTAATGTTCTCAATACAAGATACCAAACATTAAGGACATTGTTTTATTCAACCCTGTTTTAATGCTTGTGATAAACAAAGATCCTATGCAGCATCTTTGGTAGAGACAGTCTCATTGTTTCTGAAGTTTATGGAAAATTGACTAATTCACCTAACGCCATACCCCAGGAGAACAGCAGAGCAGAGACCCTCCATACATTTCATTTCCCAATGATGCTCATTCCCACAACTTACAATGAGCTTTCTGATTTCAACATGCCAGACCTACAGTTAAATCTGGTTCCAACTGGAAGCTCTGTAGAGCATCCATGACTCTTCATGGGACTGTGTTTTGAGAAATGTAAGGTCACTAAGTAAATTTAAAAGAGGGAGGACTGCCAAGTTTCAAAAGGGCAGAAACAATCCTTGGCTTCACCCCAGGGAATGAAAGACCATTCCAAGGACAGGAAGGAGGAAAGGTGGAGGCACCTGGACAGAGAAAAAAAAAAACCCAATGCGTTTAGATAAAAAGGTAGAAGAGCTGGGGTGGAGCTACAGTGGGGAGTGCTCACTCCTGGGGACTGTGAGGAGACAGTTTTATTCCTTACCAAGATGAAGCTCCTGCTGCTGAGTCTGGGACTGACCCTGATCTGGGCTCACACAGAAGGAACCCATGATGCTGTGACAAGCGACTTTGATCCGTCCAAGGTAAAACTGTGGAGCATTACAACTTTTGATGTTGAAGGGTGGCATGTTAAAGGAGTGGGTTCAGACCTGAACTAAGAGCAACTGTGCCATATTAAAATGCAACAGAAGGGCTGGGGATGTGGCTCAAGCGGTAGCGCGCTCACCTGGCATGCATGTGGCCCAGGTTCGATCCTCAGCACCACATACAAACAAAGATGTTGTGTCCACCAAAAACTAAAAAATAAATATTAAAATTCTCTCTCTCTCTCTCTCTCTCTCTCTCTCTCTCTCTCTCTCTCTCTCTCTCTCTTTCAAAAAAAAAATGCAACAGTGCCGGGGACTTCCATTTTCACTGAAGAGACAGTGGAAATGTCCTAGGTGTCCTGCCAAATGATCTGAGTTCTAATTCCCTCTTCTCATCCTGAGTCCTGCCCCATAGACCAAGAGTTCAAGGAGAAGAGTGTCTGTGTGGCATTCCCTCTCCCCTTTTCTCACTTAACCATTTTTCTTATTTATTACAGTATTCAGGGGAGTGGTATTCCATTCTCCTGGCCTCTGATCAAAAGGAAAAGATAGAAGAAAACGGTAGCATGAGGGTTTTTGTGGAATATATCCATGCCTTGAATAAATCTTCCTTAGGCTTTAAATTCCATATAATGTAAGTATGGCTTTTTTTGTTGGGAAAGGGAAAATTAAAGAGTAGGTATTATCTTAAACCTAAACACACACACACACCAACACATGCACACAGACATGTGCACATACATACTGAGCCTGCATCCAAAATCACAGTCCCTCATTTGAACTGACCCAGGACTTGATGGACCTGGGACTTTTCAAGATTCATGGATAAAGAGTTGGTTACAGGAGTAAGTTGATTAGAAGTGGGGGATGCAGAGGGCAGAGGAGTATCAGAATCAAGGTTAGCATGACAATATGGAATAGTTCAAGAGCATGTGATTTAGAATCAACAGGCTGAATTTGATTTTTACCACCTGTTGACCAACAAAACCCATCCCTGACCAGGTGTGGTGGTGCACAACTTTAATCCCAGTGGCTCAGAGGCTGAGGCAGGAGTATCATGGATTCAAAGCCAGCTTTAGCAACTTAGTGAGACCCTGTCACTAAATAAAATATAAAAAATGTCTGGGGATGTATCTCAGTAGTTAAGCACCCCTTGGTTAATCCCTAGTACCATTAAAAGAAAATTCATCCCTTCCCACCTTCATTTTCCATGGACAAAAGCTGGTGATAAAGATTCTCCCTCTTGATTTCTTGTGAGGGCTGAGTCAGGTGATGTTCATAAAGAACTCAGCTGAGAGGCACCATTAGTGCATACTTAGCTAATGATCTTAACGAGTGGTTGTGGTATATTAGTAGTAAGTATGGTAATTAGTAGTAACAACGGTGACAAACAGTTCAAGCACTTTTTAAGTCATTTCCCAAGTATCAAAGTAAATGAAACAATTATGAAGAAAATCTGTTTGGTAATTGTACAAAAAATATTCAAAAGTTAGGTGGAATCCGAAACCCAGGTTATAGGTAAAATAGAGGATGAGGAAGCCAGCCTCAACAATATGTCCTGGGCATCAACTCATTCTTTTTTACAGTATAAATGGAGTATGTGCTGAAATTGAGTTTGTTTGTGACAAAACAGAAGAGGATGGTGTATATTCTGTTGAATGTAAGTAGACCACAAATGTTCTTTCTAAATTATATTTCCAACTGCAAGGAATTCACTGAACTCCAATATCATCAGGATATTTATCAATGACTCATTAATTCTTATTAAAGTAATATAATAGGGGCCATCTAATAGCCAATGTCCTGAATATAGGAAAAACGTATGTGCAAAAGCCAATTCCTATAATACCATAAAAGAAAGAATGCAGTCTGGTCAGACGTAGCTCCTTCTGCAATAAAGGTAATTGGCAGGAGGGGAAAGGTAAACTGGGTAGGACAGCTGCTCGTTTTCTGCCATCTGTGTGATTATGCCTGGGGGCATTGCCACACATATAGCCCAGGATGTAGCACCAGATATGTAATTCCAGAGGGCTTATTGGGAAGACAGAGAGCATTATTGACAGAGATGGTGAGGGAGGTGGACAGGTCTCAGGACGATAGAGGGTGAGTTGCTGCTGAGACTGAATGTTCTACACTCATGGTCTATTTACCAGTGTCCTTTTTAGAAGTCCTTCATGACGCCTGGGGAGTTACAAAAGGAAGGCATTAGCCATCTTCACTGTGTCTTCTAGAAGATGCATTGTATTTTTTCATGGGAAAGAATAGGTAAAAAGTTTTCATTGCCTCCCAAAAACCAAAGAGGTTCTGAGCTGTATTCTGTTTCCTTCACAGATGATGGACATAATACATTTAAAGTACTCGAAACGGACTATGATGACTACATTATTTTTCACCTCATAAATAAAAATAATGGGAATACATTCCAACTTATGGAGCTCTATGGTAGAGTATTTTCATGCGCACACTCATCTTGGGTGGGAGGAAAGGGAAGGAAGGAAGCCTAGACACAAAATGATCTCACCGAGGTTATCCTGGACCCTATCTTCCCCACTGAAGACAGATGTATACCTTTGGGAGTCCTCAGGCTCACTGAGGGGAAGATCATGAGATCTCTCATTGTGCCAGAAAGATGTCTCATTGATGTCAGATTCAGAACAGGTCCTGACATACAATTGTCACCATCCATTTTCCTGTTCTCCTGGAGCCCTGTCCTCTCATTCTCCTCTATCCTCAAGACATAAGTCACAGCAGTAATGTCACTACTCTCACAGGTCGAGCACCAGATGTGAGCTCAGAACTCAAGCAGAAATTTGTGAATGTTTCTGAAAAATATGGAATTGTTAAGGAAAACATATTGGACCTGACCACTGTTGGTAAGTTTAGCTAGCTGGCTTTCTCCTCCTGAACTTCATGTCCACAGAAAAGGAAAATCCAAGGGAAGATAATCAGCCTCCTTTGTGCCAACATGGAGAAGCATCCAATTTCTCTTAGGGAAAAAAAATAGGGATGGTCTCTCTGAATGTCTTCTGTTGTGCCTCTGCAGACCGCTGTATCCAGGCCCGAGGTGGAACACAGTCCTGAGTCTCCAGGTAGGTGATCTCTGACCCTCATGCAGAGGGGGTGGACCAGGGAACAGTGCCTTCCCAAACCATGAGGGACTTGTGCCCAAAGATTGCATGAAGGAAAACAAGATCGAGGGCTTTCTGTACTCTCTATAAGCCCACTGGCAGTACACATCTGGTGCTCTGCCCTGGGCAATGTGCTGTGGCAATGTCACACAGATGGCAGGCAATGAGAAGCTCTCCTACCCAATTTACTTTTTCCCCTTCCAACTATCTTTGTTGCAGAGGGAGGTACACATGACCAAATTGTACACAGTTTTCAGTTGCATGACCTTGGGTCAGGACCCAGTCTTACCATGAACTTTTGCACAAATGGCCTAAGCAACCAAAAGAGGAAGCAGTGACGTGCTCCTTATAGAGTGCTGCGAGCAGGGGATGAGGAGAAAAAGGCTCAGTTCCTGATAATGCACTTAAGGTTATCAGGACGTGAAGGTTGAAATGGAATAACAATAATAGGGTGTGAGTAGGAAACACATATAAATATGAATCTATGTTTGTGGTCCATCTTCCAAGCCCAGGAAGCCATCTCACCTTCCAGTTAGGATCAGAATGTCTTCTCTGACTCTGCACATCCTTGACTTCTCACTCCAGAATGGAACTGACTGATCTTTCCATTGTCCTCCAACCTGAAGAACAGAATTGGGTTTAAAAAAATAAGAACTTCCCTTTGTCCTCAGTTCAATCCCAGGAATGAGTGATGAGTTTCTGTGTTCTCTCCAGGGCAGAGAGAAAGTTTCCCCACCTGGGCTCCAGCATCATCTATCTCCTTCCTCACTGCTACACCATCTTATGACCTGTTCTGTCACCTGATTTCCACCACTGTCACATATGAATGTGTCATCCTGGATCTCGAGGATCTTCTCAGATTGCTGAGGAAGATTCATCCAATCACCAAGAATCAAAGGCTTTCTCTAAATTTCTCTCTTTGCCACACCCAGGTCAACTCTACATGAAGAAGGTCTTTCTCTATCCCCTCAATAAATGATCAGCCCTGGAGTCCTGTGACTTGTCCTTGTTCTGGGAGAATGGGAGGCTAAAGTGGGAGGATGAGAGGACCTCCTGGTCCCAGCACCAGTTTCCTCCTCCAGTGTCTCAGAGTCTACTCTGAGTTTCAGGATTCTCCCTTGTCCTGCAGTAATCCTCGGACCATCATCCCAAGTCCCCAGAAGGCTGCTTGCCCTTTTATTTGCATATTTTAGTGACCCCATAAGACCCTTTTGTGTACTGTAAGAATATAAGACTTGCTCCATAGTTTCTTTATCCTAGAATTCTCTTTTTCAGTGTAACACTGCAAGAGTGGCAGTGCTGTGACAGACACCAGCTCAATGTGGTTTGGTCATGTCTTGTGCGAAAATAAAGGCTCTGTCATTATAGGCTCAAAGATTAATGAGAGAACACTATCAACACATTTGAAGCTCCCTGTATCTCTCTATGTCTCCAGATCAGAAAACTAAATCAGGTTCAGGTGTATTCCTCCTCAAATACTTGGTCTGGTTGCCAATATATGGCAAAAGGCTATGTAGAAAGCCCACCAGTTATGGTAGGATCCTGCCCACCTCCTTTTTTGAAATGGGTTTCACAATGTTGTCCAGGCTAGCCTCAAAGTTCCTTGCCCAAGCCATCCTCCTACCTCAGCCTCCTCAGTACAGGCACATGCCACCACAGCTGACTTGCCATTCCTTAATGATGGCATTTAAGGGACAGGAAAGCTGAGGCCCAGACTGCATGATCCAATCTCCCAGAGAATACTTAGAAAATAAATAACAGTAGCAAGAGCCACATTGATGATGGGAAATAGTGGGCCGTACCACATGCCGAGAAAATACAGCCCAAAGAGAAGGGTATTGCACAGAAGATGGAAGGAGACCCTCATTGTTATACAAAAATACATATAAGAGGATGTGAGGGGGAAGGGGGGGAAAAAAAGAAATGAGTTACAGTAGATGGGGTAGAGAGAGATGATAGGAGGGGAGGAGAAGGGGGCTAGGAAGGGGATAGAAAAGGCAGCAGAATACAACAGACACTAGTATGGCAGTATGTATAAACGTGGCTGTATAACCAATGTGATCCTGCAATCTGTAACGTGGGAAAAATAAGAATTCATACCCCATTTGAACCAAATGTATGATATATGATATGTCAAATCATTGTAATGTTTTGAGCAACCAATAAAAAAAAGAAAGAAAAAAAATACAGCCCAGAGAAAGTCATGAAAACCCGTGTCTATCCCCAGATCAAGACAGCTCACACCTAGACCCACCCCTTCAACTCCAAATACTTTGTGCAAATGAGACACGAAATATTCAGAACACTCAAAGACAGAGGGGAATGTCTATAGATCAGAAGCAGAGCAAGCCCTTTCTAAAGAAAGAAAAGGGGAAACCACGTGGGAACCAGAGAGTAAACGGAGCAATGCTGTCCTCTGGGATCTGAGGACAGATCTGAGACAATGATCCATGGTTGGGGGCAAGTGTCACAAAAGCTAGGCAAGGGTGCGGGCTGAAGATGCACCTCCAAGGTCCAGGAGCTGAGCCAGAGAGACCCACCCCTTCAACTCCAAGGGACTTGGACAGCTCCTCTCCCCTACCTGGAGTCACAGAAAGAGGCTGTGGGCCTGTGGTTGCAGAAGTGACAACTTCCAAACTTTAGGAAAAGCACCCCTTAATCTCCTGGGACTGGCCCGACTCTCACATTTAGGCTTCAGTGTTTTCTCAGCTGGCCTGACTATCCTGGCTGGGCTCTAGATTGTTCTGGTGGACATGAACCATCTCATAAAACACCAACATGAAACAAGGGCTCTCTGAGATAAGAAAAACAGAATACTTTTGCAATCCACTAACACAATTCTCTCCTGGCTAAATTGAGTCACAGCTACTTTTCTACCAATTGCAGATTTATGTCTATCTCCATTTCTTGTTCGTAAGCTTTATTGAGCTCTCCAACCATTGAATTGTCCCTGAAATTCTGATTGCACCCAACTTAGAGCTCCTCTGGACCTCCCCAAATCCTATAGAAGTTTCTTCCTATGACTCTTTCTGAGATGCCCAGTTCCCCTTGGTGAGTGTTCTTTCTAGCTGCAACAGTAAATCCAACTTCTTGATTACACATGTGTTCCTAGTGGTCTTTGGTGGAAGGGTATTAACATTTTTAGGACAAGAACCAGGTGTCCTCCATGCAGGGGAAGCACCAGGCTGAATCACAAATGCAAGGCTCGGTTTGACACTGTGTACCCATCAGGGGCCAGAACACAGAATGCCTTCAAGAATTTTGGCCTAAGCAATTAAAAAACCATTTAATCCAGTCAGTTGGAGGCATGAATTTAGTGGGGAAAGCTACATATCTCTGTTGAACATACCATTAGTCTATCTAGGTGGGCTGCTATCAGAAAGAGATGCAGGTGTAATCCAGTATGGTTTAATGAAGATGGGATTAATTTCTCCCCTATGAACATCTGAAGTGAATATTCCCTGCAGTCATTCAGGAACCTGCTTCTTTCTATACACTACTCCCTAGGACAATGTCCTCATCCGCAGGGGTTAAAGCTGAGTTGTAAGAGGTAAGCAAAAATAGATGGTGGGGAAGCATGGACTTCCCTCCACTCCACCCTGGGAGGTTCTTCCAAGTTCATCCTCCTTCATGGCCACGGCCCACTTCCTGCTTGCACAGGTTTAGAGAGATTACTTTGAGAATTAAATACCACATACTTTTGCTATTTTTAGGCCCAAGTTTCTTTTCTCAATACAAATTCCTCAAAAGCTTAGTAGATTTCTGGTGCACTAACCTCTTGGTTTATCCCACGGACAGATAACTGTACTCTTAGAAAACATTTAAGCCTGAATTTCTGCCATGGTCTAGGTCAGCCTCTATGATCTGCCCACCCTTTCCTTTCCTTTAACAGTGGTTTGACAACATCTAAAGCAAGAGATTTGGGTGGGATGGGTCCTTCAATCTCGTCTTCACCAGCGGTCTCCCTACCTGTCATGGCAGCAGCTTTATCTCTTACTAAGCCTGGACACCCACTTCCTGTCACTGCTTACAATGCTTCACTTTGGGATCCCAAAGCAGTGGCACTCAGTCAACTTCCAGTGAGACTGCAGGTAGGGAGGGCATCTTTTAGTGATGCTCTGCTACTGTGCCTCTTCACTTGCAGCTTGGCTGCCTCTAGCCCCAGCCCCTCCCTCTTGTGAGTTTTGCTGAAAGCAGCAAGAAACTCCCAACACCACACCAGACTTTCAACACCCTGCTTTTTTTAAAAAAAAATCTAGTCCCCAGTTCTACAGCCTTTGTCAGCACACACTGCATCTTCCATAGAACAGCAAGCAAACATTTGACCAAAGGTTTTGCCAACACGGAACTATAGTAGCAGCTTTTCAGGCTGTGATACCTGAATTCATATCCCCTCTGCTTCTCTCTCTCTCTCTCTTTCTCTCTCTCTCTAATAATCTATAGATCTATCTTTGGTACCAGAGATTGAACTCAGGGGCACTCAACCACTGAGCCACATCCCCAGGCCTATTTTGTATTTTATTTTGAGACACAGTCTCACTGAGTTGCTTAGTGCCTCGCTGTTGCTGAGGCTGGCTTTGAACTCACTATCCTTCTGTCTCAGCCTCCCGAGCTGCTGGGATTACAGGTGTGCACCATGGTGCACAGTGACACCTGAATTTTTGATACCCAATACTTACAGCCTTTGTCGGCACATGCTGCATCTCCCATAGAACAGCAAGCAAATATCTGTCCAAAGTTTTTGTCTACTGGCCATGCATTTTGAAGTTGATCAATTGCCTTAACTACTCAGTCTCCACCATGGGGCATGTTCTTTGAGCTAGACTTGCAGCCTCACATGGCTAATAAAGATCATGATAAAGCCAGACACTGCACTTATAAATGAAGATGAAGATCTAGGTCAGTAGAGGGTCTCAAAAATATGGAGCAATTTGTATTCTATGAAGATAAAAGCCTGGGGATGTTTGTTGGTTAGTTTCCTTAAAGATATTAAGGACACGAATCTCGATCCAATTGAGATAGACAGCCCTTATTATGTACATTTTGCTTGTTTGATTTACTTTGAACATTCCCATGACACTGAGACTTCAGGACTTTATAAACTCAGCATCCCCTCCTGCCCCAGGTCCACAGCAATTAGTCTTATGACCATAAACAGTAATGGCTTTTCTTTGGGAAATGCGATCCTCTGTGATAGTAGAAGCAAATGTGATTCCATTTTGTTTTATGACTTCATCCTGTAAAACAACCATGCCAAGGAGAAGGGTCATGAATGGGACAAGATGTTCTTTACCTTTTGCTATAGAAACCTTTAAGAACACAGAACTACCTAATGGGGCTCTGTTTCTGTAACTAGGGTAACGGGGCTCTGTTTCTGTAACTGGGGTGACTGGGCTAACTGTGATTGGTTAGGCTTCCCTCCACCTGACCCCACTCTCCTGCTTCTGTAACCCGACTTGCTTACATTGGCTGGACCCTGAACATCCCTTTTGCGGTTTTCAGGCTTATAAGGAGCGCCCTTGCAATTGTTCAGGGCTGATCAGGGGAACAGCTTTATGTTCTGGTCAGCCGCCACTGGTGTGCTTCAATAAAGGCTTGATTCGATTATACGTGAGTGGTCTGGAAGTCAGTTTATGAAACCCCGGGACGAAACTTTAACTATAACATCTGGGGGCTTGTCCAGGATCCATTTCTTCCCTACCCTCACGCCAAATTTGCCTCCAATGACGGGCCTTTGGACCTAGGCCTCGGAATAGAGGGGAGCTCCTGAGAGAAGTTCCTCAGCCTCACTCCGAGGACGACGCCAATCCGTCCAAGGACGCTCTGAAAAGCCTCCTGCCGGCTGTCAGACCTGGTGGGTGGACTCTTCTGTGTGGGAAAAGGTCAGATTGGACGCAGTTGTTTACACCTTTCCAGGGACAGGACAGGACGAGACATTGTTACTGTCTCCCAGGAGGGCTCCCTTTGTGACCTCATCTGTCTGTATCTGC